CTTAAAATAACAGACTCCTCTTCAAACACAATATCAGGATCTAAAACCATATCTTTATTTAAAATAGAATTCATAATTTGCCATTCAACTTTAGAATTACCCCTATTTGCATTCAATTTACTAAAGTAGTAATTATTTTTTGTATTCTTAATTTTAACCTTAACGTTTTTGCATAATTTTTTATAATAAGAAACTAAACGAACATTATTTGGATTCTTTTTAACTTTTGGACGTAATTTATTTCTTTTCTTAATAAAATTAATAAGACCATTTGTCATCCACGGCTTCAATATTTTGTTCCTAGTACGTATCGTAACACTAGTACTACAATTCGCAATATGTTTCATAAGAATATCATAAAAGATCGAATAAGCAACCGAAGTATCATCCACAATATAAAAATCAGACCAGGATTCAAACAACAAAGCTGTCCTCAATTTATTAAAATCAATTTTTTGAAACGAATTCTCATAAATATTTATAAGCATTTCAGGGAATTCACAACAAAGCGAAACTCTACTAAGAGCCAAATTTACATTTTTCTCGGTATGTTAACTTTAAGCTTACTAATGTCCTAAAAATTGGAAAGAAGTATTTAACAGACATTTTTATAATATTCTTTTTTTTTCTTTTTTTATACCGAAACTGCCAGACGAAAGGCAGTAGTGTGGAACTTTAATCCACTAAAAAACACCCTCCTCAAAATAAACTATAAAACTAGTCTGAAACGACTAACCATTAATTTTGCTCTAACTTTTTTGATTATTTACGAGCTTTTGATCTGGCACAATAGTGTACTAAGTACTTATTGTTCCAGATAAAAAACTTTAAACTAACTCGAGAGGTCTCGTACGTTTAAGTCTCCTAACAAAGTTTTGATTGTCAACCAATCGAGCCGCCTCGATGTTAACATGTTTGGATAAACGCATTTTATGACTGGCTGCTTGCTTTTTAATTTCGTCTGTGACACTTAGGATCGTGAGATCCCTATGTATATCGGCATTACGGACATACAAGGGGCGTTTACAATTTCCCGTAATACTTTATTTTGAAATCTTTGTATAGATTGGATATGAATCTACGCAGTGAAACCCCATAACTGAATACCGTAAGCCCAGACAGGCTTAAATATTTGATTATATATCAAAACTTTGTTATATATTGTCAATTTAGAACGCCTCCCCAAAAGTCATTCAAACTTTCTGTATTCCTCCTCTAGTTGAGATCTCTTTTTCTTTTTGTGCTGCCTCCATCTGGCTTCGCGTCCAACGTCATTCCCAAATACGTCGCCGCGTTTGCGGATGGCATCAAGACGCCATTTATTCGAACCAAAAATGAATTGTCAATATTCCTATTAGTGAAATTTACGTGTACTGATTTCACCTCGTTAAGTTTTATATTCCACTTTCTAGTCCATTTTGAGATCTCATCAATGGCCCTTTGCAATTTTTGTGTAGATTGATTTTCATTTCATCCTATTGCGATAACTGCTGTATCATCAGTAAATGTAGCTGTTGTCACTCCTTCCGATTCAAGAATATCACACGTGTATAGCAAGTATAATATCGGGTCCAATATACTCCCCTGTGGTACCCCCGACCTGATATCCCTAAGCGAAGAGTACTCCTCTTCCCGTTTAACTCAAGATACCCTATTAGTGAGGTAAGATTCGAGCAGGGCAACATACTGTCTTGGTATTGATGATTCGGGATTAACATTTTACTTTCAATTATAGGCTGAAGTCTTCTCAATAAAAGTTTCTCTAGCAGTTTTGAAAGTATCGTAATTAAACGTAATTAAACCTTATAGACGGATTTATTAGGCGCGTATGCAAAAGCAGACTCCTCATTTTCATGCAAGGCTTGGCTGTCATGCAGGCAGAATATATCGGCCAAATGATTCGCAAACGCATTTGCCTTGTACTTGTCAGTTTTTGCCAACGTTCCATCTTTGTTTTCACTACGAGCGAGATGTTTGATAGGTTGCTTCATTTTCTTTGTTGCCCTCCACAGTAAGTAATGTACTCACACGCCGTCAAATTTTGAACATAATCAGCAACCGAATACTCTTTGTATTTTCTAATACAGCGTCTTAGTTGCTGCGATTCACGATTTTATCTGGCTTTATCAGTAGGATCACACGTTTGCTGCCACCTCTTTCTCGCCCGCCTGCTTCGTCTTGCTTTCGCTAGTATATGTGGGGGATAGTTAATGCCCTCCCTTCTATTAACATTAATTTTGGAACTACTCCAAGCCGCATTCTGAATAATTTTAGTAAAGTTTTCGACCTCCTCATCTATGTGCTGGGTCGTTCTTATTCTTTTCCTTAAATCTATTTGTCGTTCAATCTCTAAGCGAAATCTTGACCAATCTGTGTTCCACTTGTCAGCGCAGGTTTCGCTCTTTTCATAACTATACTTTCCTTAAGTTCAAGAATAACTATCGAGTGATCGGAGTTAAGATCATAGTTATCATGTACCTCGATGAAATTTTTCGCAATCCGTTTTATTATGAAGAAATCTATTAAATCTGGGCAATACGTTGGCTTCGCAGTAGAGCGAAAAAAGCACCCCGTGCCGCCAATTTCTGTCCTAAGTTCTCTTCCTCTAGTTGAAGTATGCCTTGAACCCCAATTAGTGTGCTTGGCGTTAAAGTCACCCCCCAATGTAAATCTATCGCCTCGGTCTGTCAGAACGTTTTGAAACATTTCTGCCGTAATTTTAAATCTGGGGTGACAATATAAAGCAGCCACTCTAAATTTTAATGAGATCGAAATACACCACATTTTCTTTTATTATTACTGCCGTTCCGCTCTTTGCTATATTTCCAGGGTGGTTCGAGTTGTAAATTCTATAACCTGGAAACCGAATCCTTCCTAAAGTCCTATGTGATTCAGTTACGAGGCACACGTCTACATTCTGTGTATATAGAAAAACTTCAAGCATGTCCTTTTCATTTGAAATACCATTGCAATTCCATGTTGCTATTTTAAAATTACTTCGTGCCATCATTTACCAGATCCTTTGTTATTCGATTTTTTCCCTACGCTCTCTAAAATGCTCAATCTCTGAGAGATTTTGTCCATCATATCTGCATGTATGTGCTGCATTTTATACAAAACATTCACGTCACTGGCCCTTGCTTTATTGCTTGTGCCACCGTCATTAGTTTTCGTTTGGAGAACGTCCCTGTATGTTACATCTTTGAGACTATTCTCGAGATGAATTGCCTAGGTGGCCGTTCAGAATTCTTCAAATTGTTGTTGCTGCTCTTATTTCTACGTTTTTGTAGTTCCTTAGCTACAAGGCATCCCCTACAGTTTGCTGGGTGAGCCTCCAAGCAATTGGAACACTTTGCCGCAGTACTCTTTGGCTGACTACAATCAGATGTTAAGTGCCTGCCTGCACATTTAATACAATTCGGTTCTCTCTGGTAAAATTTTTGTGTATGCCCATACGTTTGACACCTTTTACACTGCGGAATGGTCCTATCCTTTCGAAATGCCTCTATCCTATCTTTCATCCTGTTTATCTGATCGATTTCATAAATTTTTTTCATCTCCCCTTCATTTGAGAGTGTTAGCATAAACAGCGGTAAAGGCATCATAATTCTTTTCCCATTTTCTTTTATTTTTTTAATTTTATTGGTTATATCTAAGATCTTGTAACCCCTAAAGCTTAGGTCTTCTTTTATATCTCCCGGTTTACAACTGGGGTGAAGATTTGTTACCAGGACTTTTATTGGTCTGGCCTGCTTGTTTTCATAGGTATGTCATTCTAGTCCAAATCCATTTATGGCCCTGGTAAGATCCCTGAAGTCCATTTCGGAATTTACAATAAGCTTAAATTGATTGTTATTCATCATTTTAACCTTACAATTGATATCCTTATTTTTCAATGTTGACTCTATTTGATTATAGATAACCACATTACTTATGACTACTGGAGGCGGCCTAGAGTTTTTCGTGACACCGCTTCGACTTTTAGAATCAGGAGCATCCGCTTTCTCAGCGTTGATCGTCACCTGAACCACTTAGGGAGATGATTCCGCTTTCTTTTTTTACTGGACCTCTTTTGCTTTAAGATCCAATCTGTTTCTCTGGCGAGTTCTTCCTCATCTGTTGAATAGACGTTCACGACTGACCTCACCTGCTTTGCTTGTGGTGCAGAGTCTTTTTCTTTATAACTACTCTTATTAGACTTATTGTTTGTTATTTGCCCATATTTCTCTTTCTTTACCTTCTCATTCTTAGCCCTCAGTTGAAGAACCTCGTTTTGCAAAGCCACACAGAGCTGTTTTAGTTGGCTAATCCTTTTATGTATGTCAGCATTCTGATAATCACTTTTTTTTGGCTTGAGCTTTACTCATGTTTATGTCCTTATTGGTCTGTGGAGCTTGAGTGTTCGGTAGTCCACCTTCTATATTTTTATTCTTTTCCAAAATCCGCACATCAGATGTAGGTGGTGGACGCCGGGTTTTCGCGTTCCTCCTGAACGGATCAACCAAATGCAATAAATGGCTCTCCCCAGAATCCGTAGGGCCGACCTCCGAAGAGGGTGGATTCTCCAACGAAACCCGGATTAAGCGCCGAGTACTCGCTTTCGCCAGCTCTTGTCAGCCTTACTAAGTAAGTTGCCCAGGAGACATCCGGCAGGTAACTATGTTACCTACATTCTAGGAGGTGAGACTCGGATTTGTTGGAAGAGCTGATGTTTTCAGAGGGCATTTCGTAGCATTTTAAGCTTCACATATTAGGAAAATGTGAGACTGCCTCGGACCCATGCCAACTTTTGTCCCGCATATAATATTCTGTAACACTTTCATTTAACTAGACAATACATATTGTGGTCGGTTATGTGCTGACCACATCAGATTTTTTAAATTCGTTTTCTTTTTTGTACGTTGTTTAAAATTTTTGTATTACAAACAAGATTTTTCCACTAAAAAAGTTTTACATAAAATTTATATTTGTGCAATTTATTATTTTCTTTTTATTAACAGATTTTCTTACCAACGTCGCCAGTTTTTCAATTATTTAAATGAAAGTTTTTACTTCTTTTATATTGCTATAATTAGAATATAAAGGTGCATTTTAAAAGGTTTTAAAATGGGCAACAATATTCGGATAATTATAATACTAATTTATGCTGTACTACAATTAGCAATAGTTATTGAGGCTCAAGCTAAGGTAAGTTTACGGTATTTTCTTTGTTTTCCTAAATTTAATAAACTTGAAAGATAGAAGCTATGTGCTTTGTATCTATGAATGATTTGATTTTGCAATAATTTTTATTACATAATTTATTTTGGTAATTTAAGGAGAATATTTTAATAAGCAGGTTGTGATTGAGTTCATGTTTGCATTTATAAGCTGCAATGGTGATCCTTCTTTTTAGCATTTTTCCAAAAAATATACTCTTTTTCAAAATTGCATAAATCATTTCTAACTGTATACAATATCTGAAATAGTTTCGTGTATGAATGAAAGTAATTTTTATAGTATAGTAGGTATACGTAGATTGTTTTAAATGCATTATTTTCACTTATTGAAGCGAAAAGTGCTACCATATAAACCACCGGTGTGACCCAACTTTATTTACTATGCTAAGCTAATTTTTATAGTGTAGCAGGTATACATAGATTGTTTTAAATGCATTATTTTTAATTGTTGAAGCAAAAAGTGCTGCCATATAAACCACCGGTGTGACCCAACTTTATTTACTATGCTAAGCCTCGTTTCAGTTTAATACAACTATTTTATTTGTAGTTTGACAATATTATTTTTTGTTTTGCAATTTTATAATTTTGACATTTGGTGCAAATAGTCTTTTTTATTGATAGAATTACTTTTCAGCACTTTTTACATTCTTTTTTTATTTATTTATTTTTTAAATTCATTTTTGTTTTCTTATTATTAATTAATACATATTGATATAATATTATTATATTAAATTTAATTATCCTATGTAATATTTTACAATATGCTCTTATAGTGCACTTATGCATAATAAAACTAACTTTCTAATGTAAAACAGTTCTTTTTTTTTCTATTTACCGACCGTGTATACAATAGGTAGGTTATGTGATGGCAACAAATTTTGCATGTTGAGTTTTTGGTGGGAATGCACTTCTCCGTGGTAGGGAAGTGTAAATGAACTATTTTTAGCAACCTGTCGGTCTGTGTGTGTACGTGTGTATCTCAAGTTCGGGCGAACCGATTTTGATGAAATTTTATATATAAGTTTATTTCGACCATGGCACGGATTGATCAACTTTTGGAATATATCAGGCCTCGGGAATTGCGCTTTTTAGCGGGACTAAATTACATTTTTCACCATTTTGAAGAAAATATTCAACCGATTTACTTGAAATTTCATATACAAGCTTAGCTCGACCGTTTGCGAAAATACTTTACTTTTGGTAGATATCAGGTGTCAGCAACTGGACGTTTACTGCGGACCAAATATACATTTTTGCGTATATGAAGAGAAATAATCAACCGATTTTATTGAAATATAATATTTAAATTCTTTGTACTAAGACAATGAACATATAAATTTTTTGGTAACATAAGGGCTCGAAAACTGATCTGTGAGCCGATTTCACATTTTTCACCATATCTACGGACGAGTTGATGGAATTTCTTAAAATTTGATATTTGAATTCTGGTTCTTACCGAAACTAACTCTACTAAGAGCTAAACATAGATTTTTCTAGTTAGTTAACTATAAGCTTACTAATGTCCTAAAAATTGGAAAGAAGTATTTAACAAAAATTTTTATAATTTTCTGTAACACTTTCACTTAACTGAACAATACACATTGCGATCGGTTACGTGCTGATCCTATCAGATTTTTTATATTGTGGGTGAACATATAGAATTAAATTTTCCAAATAAAGAAAAGGTTTAGGCAAAAACAAAATAAAAATTTTATTCAAATATATCTATGTATGTATATATGAATGAAATTTTTCAAATAAAGAAAACGTTTAGGCAAAAGCAAAATAATAATTTTATTCAAATATACGTATGTATATATGAATCTATTAGAATCGCTCGAACAATAAAAATTAAATTTTAAGTACATACGTATATTAATTGTGTATCTATATTAATAAAAATTTTTTCAGGTAATCTGAAAAAATAGAGCTATTTCGGGGCTAAAAAGTTCCAACGCAGATTTTTCTAGCACCCTAGAAGCAAAACCTTGTTTAATGCCTTTTGAATCATGTCTCTAGCCCTTCTAGAAGTACCCGTACTTTTGGCATCAGAGAAGGAGCTGTATATATATAATATTTGCGAATTGCATTGTGTACAATTCGACCTTGTAAACATATTGTATTTACTGTAAAATAATTATTTAATAAAGCAAATGTAATACGATATGTTAAATGAGTAAGTGCACTACACCCTTTCCGTTGGAGAAAATAAAAATTTTTTTTTTGTTTACAAAGAAAGTTATTAAGTTTAATAAATTTTAACGTAAGTCTGTTATTATGTATGGATCTTACAATATTGTTAATTACTAATTTTGAATTTACGTCGTCTGTCACTATATTTATTTTTTTTTAATTTTTTAGAAATACTGTGTCGCCTACTTTGAAATTTATTTATTTTCTAGACCTGCATCATATTTGGCATAGTAATCTATGTCTTGAATTGGATTGTTATTATTGCAATTTAAATCTGTTGGTAAAGCGGCTATTTTGCCGTAAATTCTAAAGTGGATAAAGTTAATAGCATTATAACAAAAAATAAAGTATGGGATCCATTTGCCTCAATCGTTATCTACTGTGAAAAATAACAATAATTGATTTAGAAATCTGCGATTAACTTCTATTGCACTCAAACTTTGGTGGTTTTATCGTGTATGTTTTAAGTGTTCCACATCGAACATTTTGCAAATGCTTTTAAAAGTTTCATTAATAAATTCAGTGCCGAGATCTGTTTTAATAGTTTTTAGGTTGCGGGTTTTTGAATTTTTCAGAATGAATTTTTCTACTAATGCTTTAGATACTATTTTTGCGTCTTGTGTTTGACGTCAAATTTTAGTTTTGTTATACCTTTAATTTCTGAAATGGAAGTACAATTCCAAATTAAATGTGTTTTACTTCTAATATATATATTAGTATTAGGATCCTTATTATTTCCATTTTTAAACTTATCTTTGTTTATTGTATTTTTCTACTTTTTGCTACGAGTGACTATATTTATGGCGTGAGTAAGAATCATTTCTTTAGGTGCATTTGTATTAATCGCGATGCGTGGTAGAGTATTGGTATAGCTTTTTACCGTTTACTCTTCCCTACGATGGAGAACTGCGTTCCCACCAAAAACTCGATACGCAAAATTTGTTACCATTACATAACCTACACAATGCGACCGCTAAATATATACTTTATATCCAAACTTAAATGAACTTAAATCACTTGATACGATAATTATTAATTTTAAAGATGTCTTAAAATTTTAAAAGAAAAATTTATATCAATGCATAATTCAAGTTATTCATGGTCATTAAATGACTCTTAAGAGCTCTTTTAAACTCAACCAGACTTTGCAATGCACTAACCTTAAAACATTAGGCAGCTCTTTGTAGAGAATAAAACCTGCGAATGAAACTCGTTAATATTCGACGCTCACTCATTATCTAAAGTTTTAAATATACAAAGTAATTGCTGAAATTTATGGATACTTTTGACTGGCAACATCCGATTAAAAAAATATGAGGTTAGCGTTTTTTAAGGAATTTTGTTTTTTAAATCTAAACATCATACAATTAAATACACTCAATTTAAAATTAATGGAATCTATATGAGAGCTCCATCTTAAATGTTTATCAAAATGATCCCAAAAAATTTCATTTCATGAGCCAGATCAATAATAGAATCATCTATCACAATACCTGGTAAGACGATATTATGTTTTTGCAAGCTAAAATTAACAATCTTCGTTTTGAGAGCATTCATAGAAAGCCCATTAATTCAAAAAAAAATTGGAGAAATCCCAAAATATAGCCATGGGCCACTTTCAGATTGACGCATTTAGAATTTGGAAAGCTTTTTTGCTACAACATATTGTTTTCTCACATAGCTTTTCATAAGTTGAATCGCCCTTACGGAAAAGATCATGATTTATGGTGTCAAGTGCCTTCTTTAGTCTATGAATGTACCAGTGATAAACCTAAAAGTACCCAAATTCTCGCAAATCATATCATAGAGTATTTTGAGTACCAATACCTCAACGAAACTCATATTGATAAGAATACAAGAAACCATTCATAACAACTTGATCCCTTTGACGATTGAAGGTTGATGGTATTGTGATAAGTTCCTAATAAAAATACATTGACTAATTATCTTATCCAAAATAAGCTTCAAATATGAGAGCAATGATCAGCAGAATTTTTTGCCTAACTAAAGAAATGATCAGAAGCATGCCCAACCGATCTTTTGTTGTTAAGTTCACTTACAACTTTTCCTATTTTAGTTACGATGACACCCCGAAATTCAGAACTTGAAAAATGCCCATCAAGCGTACCAAAAAAGTTAATATTTTGTCCAAAAAAAAAATTGTCTCCAAATGAAGAAGCCAATATCTACAATAGTTTTAATTTCTTCAGCAATTAATTCAGGCTCAGTAATTTCCATGCCACCAGAATCCCTCAAAGTTTTATGACAAGAATTATTTCGTCTACCCGTAAGGTTATTTAGAAAATCCCATATAATGTTATTTAGAAAATCCCGTAGAATCAGAACCTGAATCGAGTCTCCCCGCGTAAAAAAACCTCTTTCAACACTTTATAGATTTTCTAACAACACTGTTCAGCCGCATAAATTTACTATAGAGTTCACCGTCATGTGGGTTACTTTTAAGTCTTTTCTCATTTTATTTTCTTCAATAATCAAATTTTTTAATGATTCACCAAGGGGCAAGAAATCTTTCTCATGTATTTTCGACACTCAATGTTATAACTAATGTTATAACATAACAATGTTATAACTAATATATTATTGTCGCTAAGATGATTTTCTATTCAAAAAACATCCGTCGCAATATTTCCTTCACAGAATGCATGGTCAATACGCGATCCAGACGATGGTGTGGTTATTAAACTGTGCCTATATTCAAAGTTATGAGAGTTCATAAATGTAATTAATTGATTCCTATCAGCAGTATTAGCGAAT